TTCATCTTTCGATCGTCTTCATGTGCTCCGTCGTTAGCTGATAAGTTTTCTTTGTGCTCGGATTGGGGACTTCCATTACCTCAATCTCTTCTTGATGCGATGCCTTCGTAGTTCTTTGTGAATTCACTGAGCTGAACTGAGAAGTGTTCTTTCTTAGCTGCTGCCAAAGCTTTGAAAAAACGAAAACACTGTTAACAGTATAGCTGTTAGGTTCTCGGTTGAACTAAGATCTTTCTCACCTAACGTTTATTTACAAATAAAAAAGATATATCTTTAATAATAAATTCATCTATTTATATACGAAAGACTGCGCGCTAACCTTGAATATATTCTTGCGCAATTACTTAGACTATCTGCTTGCGTAATAACTTTAACTATGATCTTCTTCCTTATGGCACGACTGTAGTGCGTGGCATATAACAATAACTTTCGGTAGTATTAATCATTCATATAAGGAATACTTTAAATTATAGAGCAGATATCTTTCATACAATTCAAAATAAAAATATCATATTTCTCTTGTATGAATCTCACAAAAATTAGATGACAGGATGCTGAAACTTAACTAGGAAATAATAAAAAATAGTAGTTTTCTACAATTTAAAATAGTAATCGTTTCACAACATTTGTTGTTCAAATTACTGTACGAGTGATTGATGTTTTAAATAGTAATGTAAACAGATACCTACTTCCACTAATGTAATTTAACTCAGATTAAAGTTGTAATGTAGATATGGCCATTGCTATTACTATCATAAGCACTTTCTGATTAATATAACCAAAGTTTATTCGTCTTCAGAATGTTTAGTTAGCTGTGAAACTTTACTGAAACTTTCTCATTCGAATGAGAACGTGTTGCTAGTTGAACTTCTGCATCTATAGATTTTCAGTACTCAAAAGTAATTCCTTGTGGGTTTTATGGAGATCGAATCTCTGGAAAACCCATAAAAAATATTTTTGCATTTCGAGAACCTCACTATCGAAAACCTATAAAAAATGTATTTATAGACTTGTGTACTATTGCTAAAATAAATGTCCAAATTCCTAAGCAAAATTTGCTGCGGACAAGCTTTCAAGTCTATAATTCAATTTGATCGAAAATATTTTTGCAGAAAAATTAAAAAGCTATACATCATTCGATGCAGTTTTTTACGGTGATTCCGAATATGGCATTATTTGTACGAAAAAGTGCTTTGGTGAGAGAGAAAAATATGAAATACGCGAAAACCCCTTGGGATTTTGGAAACTCCGTGAAACCTCCTTGGAAAATATGCGAGATTTTGCGATTTTAGGATACATAGTGTAGCATTTGAGGAACATTTTGATGTGTTTGAATGTTATTTTCGCGTGGGGCTAACGAGGGCGACCCGAGAATACTGGTAGTAATAGTACTCCCGACTGGAGTACTGTTACTACGGACTGACGTGATGAAGAACATGTCGTTCTTACTTATTAAAGTCGGTGCCGAAATAGAAATATTTTGTTATCAATAGATAGCTGAAGACGTGCTGGTTTTGAATATCTGCTTTGAAATCGCGTACCATAATTGAGTAAGCAAAGAATCTTTATTTCGTATGTAGTAACGATATCCGTAATCGGTTTTGTGTACCGTGATTTCTCGTCGTAGGAACCATTTTCAAAATAGACATTTATATACCATTCGATAGCCCTTTGAAAGGATTACATTTTTCACTATTTATATTTGAATTAGGAGCAACTTCGATTTTTCACCTAATTTCCGCTTCCACTGGATTAAATATACTAACGAGATATAATGGCACAATTTCTTCCACGTTAACATTGACAATTATTAACTGCTTAAACATTGTTGAAGTTTATCACTTCGATTTGCTTCTAGGTTTGAATGCTGTCGGTGTTAATTATGTAACATTCGGAAATCATGAGTTTGATTTGAAAAGAAATGATCTTATTCAGCGAATGAGAGAATCTAATTTTTCATGGCTAGGTACAAATGTATTTGAGCGATCGACAACATCCATGTTTAATACAGCCGTTCGATACGAGGTGATTCATATTAAAAAGGTAAAAAATTCTTATCTTCTCTTATTCAGCCGATCTAAATACCGGTGGATCGTCACCATACGTCACGATCATGAATGGAACATCGATGATACCGTTTATTCAACGTTTTCTACAATCTATACGCATCAAATATGATGTACTCGTTGCATTAACACACTGTGATCTGAAAATGGATATTGCATTAGCAGAAGGTATATCCCGAAATAGATATTATCATGGGTAAGTAAAGTGCTCGAAACGGTTTAAATTCGCAACTGGATTGAAAAGCGATGGATCGCGTTTAGTAAAGTGAGGTTATTTAGTTTCTAACTGTAGTCAGGTTTTTTGTAGTGTTAGTTGAGAGAGACTAGGAGCCTGAACTGAATAGTATGCTTATCTTGTTGAAATTATCAGCATATACAAAATACTTTGCATATGCAAAATACGTTGCTTTACTTTTATGACATTATCCGGTACAAGTAATAAACGTTTGTTACTTGTTAACGGTAAAAGGTTAATAAATCTTGTTGTTGTATTACTTATAACTTTTTGAAACAAAAGATGTAGTTTTGCGAGAATAAGGTGTCACTTTGCCCCTTGGTCGTCCTAGTTGAGCTTGTTGAAGATAGGGGCTTGTGATGGAATTGTCTCATCCTTACGTGGACGTATGCAGTTTTTGATGCTGAATCCAAAATAAAATAGTTTCAGATAAGTTTGATCGGTGTGAAAGGGGCAAAATCTTCTTGAGTTTTCTCGAAATCGGTCAGATTTTCACTTTTTCACCGGGTACTTGTATTTTAAAAAGTTCTTACCCCAAAAAACTGCCTGCACAACGTCTATTCAAGCATTCATC